AAGATAAAAAGGAATCAGAATCTTTTCCTACAGAGCATAGTTTAAATACAAGAAAAGGCCATCAATATCAGCTTAAACTAGTAGAAGAAGTAACGCATAACACAATAACGTTTATGATTAGGCAAAAGTGGGAAACAGATTGATGAGTGGAGGCAAAAGATATCTTGGGAGATTTAAAATGATCAGATTGAAATAAGGGTAGAGTGTTAACAGACATGGAAAAAAAAGGGAAGAAAATAGGAATTTGTCCTCTAGGGCAACAGACACTGAAAAATGAACTAGATCATCTTCTTAATTCAAAGAAGATATGGTTTAGTAAGAAGTACTTTCTTGGGATGGTAGACTGAATTGATTTCCAAAACTTGGGTTAACGGCGCTCACATTCAACTGATCAATTCAGGCTCAAAATAGGTTCTGGGTTTGAATGTTGCATAAGTGACAGAGAATTGAGGTGGCATTTTAGACTAGAAACAAAAGGTTAGATTAAAGAAATTACTCCAAACATGTTGTTCATATTATTTACTAATCAACTGTAGGTTCTCCTAATGCCAAATTCTGTTATATGTGGTTCACGCCTGTGATTTTTTTTTCTTATTTTGAGAATGAAATTATACACTGATGTCTAGTTTCACCTGTTAAGGATATCAACAAAAAGGAGGGGGGAATATTAGGAAGTGAGAAAAGAGAAGAAAAGTAATACAGAGGCTGGGTGGGCAAAGGGGATTTTGCAATACAGTCTGAAATGAGATGAAGATTATCAGAATAGGACCCCTTTATTCCACAGCGAAGTTGTCCAATATGTAAGAAGAACATTCAGATCTAGGACAGAACATTCTGCTCTGTTCCAGTGTGGTTAAAATTGGGGTGGCTAGTGTCTAGGAACAGAATTTTGGTAAACAGCTTAGCATACATACAATTAATATGTTACAAAGTTGTTATGAGAATTCAATAAAAGCCTACTTATAAATATTTTAACATCATATGAGGTACACAGTAGGTATATAATAAATATTGCATCTATTCTATTTTATTCAGCTATGGTGAGTTGAATAATTGAAGGATCCCATAGATTTTCTTCTAAGTCAAGTTTCCAAGTTACTCTGCCTCTCTGAGAAACCTAGAGGGTGGCAGTCAGAATTAAGTCCTAAATTGAAGAGGGTAACTAATATTTAAATAAAGGCCAGAAGAACAGGTCGGGGAGAAGACACTGAGAGAGGGACCTCTCATTTTGCATCTTAACTACAAAAAAAAAATGAATATATAAGTATCTCTAACCTGCTAAGGAAGGAAAATCCTGAAAATGTTATAATTGATAAGGGATGACAATTAGAAATTAATTGTATAATACTCATTATTTATTTAAAACATTACTGACACTTGTTATTTAATGTACTGTCTTTATTAGATTAGTAATCATAGGAGGCTTCCATTTATTATTCGTGATTTCGATTCCATCAGTCCTTGATTTCTTGACACCATTTTAAGTTTCTCAGATGGTAACTTTCTTTCCCTAGGAGTTGTCAAGCATAAACCCTAACAGTTAAAACTGATCACTTTTACAGGAATGTGGAGCCTCCATTTTGGCACTGGTAAAACCGATTTTCTAGGACATTACTGGAGACTCACTTTCCTATTTAGAAAGTACGTAGAGTTTCCAGGTCATATACAAGACACCAGGTCCAAGTTGAATTTTGGCTAAACAACTAAAAATCTTCAGTATTAAGTATATTCAAAACATTATAGGGGATATATACATATATAGTATTATTTACTGTTTTAGCTAAAATTCAAATTTAATGCAGAGTTCTATATTGTTATGTGCTAAATCTGGAAACCCTAAAACTTTATGTTCCCAACTTTATTAATGGGAGGTAGAAAAAAGAAAGTAAGTGAAAAAACTGAAAGTAAATGAAGCTTTAAGGTAAGAAGCCACTTTCACACTAAAGTATAATTGTCTTAGCAACATACCTCACAAGAAACTACCCACTCTATAAATTGCCTACACTACTATTGGATGTATACAATCAGGAAAGCCAAATTTGGACAGTAATTTCATTTTGCAATCATGTTTCTCAATTAAAACAGGTTAAATCTGCTATTTGTTTGTAACTAGTCATTTTTAAGATGTGCTGAAGAACAACTCAAGATGCTATTCCGTAATACAAAAGCGAAAAGAGGCAGGCAAATCACTGAGATTTATATCCTCATGATTTCCTAAATCCTACTACTTATGAAGGAGAAATTGCTACTAAGACTTCAGGCAGATATGCCAAATTAATCTCTTCTTTCCTCTGAGTGAATTTTCTATGTTCTATGTAATATGACAAATTTCAAGATTCTAAGGCAATTCTGACATTCTAAAAATTTTTTTTAAAAGGTTTTCATTTACTAAACATGTTACATCTTCAGGAATTTCAAAGAGAAAATGTCAATGTCCTCTAACTTTCTAATTCTCAACCCACAAAGCCAATTTGTCTCACGGTCTTTGGGGAACTAATAAACGTGGGATATTTATTTGTAAGTCAAAATCTAAAACCAAGTCTCTGACAATCTGATGATGCCTTATGATATAACATTCCCAAAAGAACAGAAGAAAAAAAAAGTTTCACATTTTGCTTCATCTAAAAACACAAGATTGTTTTCTAATTATAATGGCACATATTACACCCTTATTACAATAATAACATTTTATCTTGAGTCTTTACATGTGTAATCACTTAACCTAGGCAAAAATCTATTAATTAGCAAGAAAAAAAATGAGGAAATTCAGGATTTATGAAGTGTTTTCAGTTCCACTGTCAAGACCACATGAGAGAAAAAGTATATTAGCACCATTTCAATATGTACTCTGTTCCATCTGCATATCCTTTACCACCATGCAAAGAACTAGCACAAAAATAAATACTACACCAAATTTCCTGATAATTTTGATCACCTCTATTTCAAAATGCATTATGACCAGCACATCTTTCAACTAGGGTTATTTTCTGATCGAATTAAAAGGGCTAAGGAAAGCATTCTTAGCACATTGACAAGTGCATTTTATTTTTATTCTATGAAAACAAATAAAAGCTGTATTTAATATTAACATAGTTTTAGCATTTGAGGGCTTCTGCCTTTCTAAATGAGACCGTGGCATTAAAGGAGGCATTTTTGGGTCAAATTTCTAATGTAACTACAGGCTGCTTTAATTTTATTATTTAACTCACCCTACTCATAGCACATACACGTACAACTGAGTATGAATAGCTTATAGCAAATGTCAGATGTATTAAAGCCTTTCACTCTCTCCAACAGTGCTCTGGGATGCATTATGAGACAAGCAGATAAATATAATGATGAATTGCACAATATGGCCAACACTAGAGAGGTTTTCTACAAATGTATTGCAAAAAACAAACAAATACTTCACATTTCAGAACATAGCTATTTGGATGTCACATGTTAGCACAGGACAAAGTGGCAGATATCAGCAACTTTAAATCTGTAGGTTTTGGATTAAACAATATAAAGGAACTTTAGAGAAATGACAAAGCATCTAGAGAGTAGATGAAGTTGAAGGTAAGAGTCTATTCTTGAGGGTCTAATTAGGTTCTTCCCATCTCTCCACTTTTTTAAAAAAATCTTCATAGAGACGCCTTACCAGAAGCTATCAGTTTTGACAGTACACTGAAATCCTGGCAGTGAACCATAAATTGACCATTACCATAAAAAGAGCTGCTAAATGAGAAACCATGTGCTCAGTATAAAACTAATTTCATGCTTTCAAAAGCACACAGTGGCTTCTAGCACGATAGTGGCCCTGGGACTTGCTGAGACAGATTGGCGAACACAAATGGTTTGTTCCTGATGCGTCTGCTTAGCCAAGCTTTACGTGTACTGGCAGTAAAAGAGGTTCTCGAGTCTTCTGTCAAACAAATACACACTTAGCTATAACTTTAAAGCTGAAAACAGCTGCCTCAAGTAAATATAGCAGGAAAAACACATACACATATATACACACACACGCCATGTGCCATGTTAGCTGCTTCCAATCAAATAAAAATAGATTCCCTTGCCAACCTAATATACTAAACAGATACTTAATAAACATAATGCTATTTAATACATTATAACCCTCATACTTCATTCATGCCTAGAAACATAGGAATTAGAGTTTAGCCAAGCCTAAGCAATACCACTCCATCTACTTGGAGGCTAACTTTGAGCCTGCCTTTATCTAGTTGGCTTTCAAATACCATATACTTACAAGGCTACCTCAAACCTTTCCAAGTATGATGATCTAGTAATTTAACCTCTCCAGGTGAGTGCATGTACTTTATGTATATTTAAATGATAAAATCTGCTACATTAAAAGCATGTCAGCTATTAAAAAAACACACTTCATGAAGAAATACTGCTAATTTCCTCTCGTTCTCATTCTGCACATCGTCTCTAGAAATCAATTACTATTGGTTTTCCAGTGCACAACCGGTCATAACTTTTCATTATTAATAATGTCAAGCTTAATTAGGTGTCAACTCCAGAATGTAATCCATATCACTTACTTTCTTAGTTATCTTGAAATAAGACTTGTCTCCTCCTATCTGTTTTTCACGTCAAAGATTCCACAAAGTACACTTAGTTTATAGCCTTTTTAATATATCTGAAACACATAACATTACTGCTAATTACCTACTTTCAGTAACGATAGCAAATTGCATAATATCACTGGCTTGTTTGGAATGTTTAAAATGCAAAGGAAGTCACCTACTGGTAAGATGTCCTCGGCAAACAGCTAGCACAGAAAGAAAGGGATGCTTATCACACCTATGTAAGGAGTTACTTCCCAACAAAATTAAAGAATCATATATTTTGCTTTTCAGTTTTGCTCCTTTGGATGTGTCAGCACGACGCGATAAACACAATTGATGACTCCACAGGATTCAGTTCAACGTACGAAAGAATCTGCTACTGACATCCCAGACCCCAGCAACCAAGTTTTAAATAAAAATGCTCACCTCTGCTAGGAAGTCCACTCCACATCCTGGCAGGGCTTTCACCAGCTTCAAGAGCAACCAAGTTAGATAGACAAAACTTCCAGTATGTGACCAGGGTAATGCACAGCGCTACCGAGGCTTGGCTCCAGCCCTGATTATCTGTGTGACAGCACCACGTTATATCAGTGCCGCTCCAAGCCTTCCCAGTTGCTGGCTTATTGCGCTGCTCATTGAAAATCCTTTACACGCTGGCAACATTTTAGGGAAGGACAAGCACACTCTGAGTCATTTGTAAAGAAAGCAGAGCAATTTCAATTCTATATCTCCATGCGTGCTGAAACCAGAAGCACTGTCAACGTACAAGTCTGAGGTGGATTTATGCTGAGAAACAGGCAACATAAGCCTTCATTATCAATGCATGAAATCAGCTACTGTGATCAAATTCAAGCAAACCACAAAAAGGATATGATTATGAAAGTCTCCACAGATTTAGCACTAAACCTTGTGGAATAAAGAATCATCTATTGAAATTGTGTAAATGTTAAAAATAGCTCTGGCTTTTCAACAATGAGCAGGATACAGGGAAGAAATCAGTAGCCTATATTATAAGGACTTATAAAGGCTGCATAAACCAAAATAGCTGTAGGTTCCTGGGACTTCATTATAGACAAGTGAAATCACTGGAGACTATTACAATTATAACAAAAATAATTCCATATATTTGACACAGATGTCCATTAAAGGGCAAATCAGACATCCTTTAACTCCTAAATGCCCGTCTCTAAATTAAAATTATGGTGATAGTTAAAAATGTGCAATGCTATGCTAGCACCAGGACAAAATACTATCGGTTTACTCTAAGACAATTTCATACACAAGATTTAAATCTATTCTGTTTAACAAGAAAATAAACATGCAAGATAGATATTTTTAACACTATCATCTTTGCTCATTATTTTAAAAAATCATTAAACCCCTGTATTTTTATCCAACTATCCCCACATTTATACCTTTGCTTTTTATGGTCCCTCCTCCTTTGTTACTAAGATATAAGATGCAAGAGCTACTGGACACCGTTTTTAGAAGACACAAGGTAGCTATACCCCAGAAAGCAGTAGCTGTGATTTGAGATCACAAAATATACAGCTTTGACATGTGCATGCAAACTGCAAAGCAAAAAAGATATACAATGTTTATTAGAAGCCACAAAAATAAACCGGAAGAAATCCCTGGCAGGCAAATTGACAAAGAACACATTTAAGTTCTATTCCATGTTTTAGAAAGGGTTTTAGGTTTTCATTGAGGCTCTGAGGGCAGAGCAAATTAGAATCCAATAAAGGCAATTCCTGATTTGAGGATCTTCTTTAAATGACTGGGTTCAGTTCTAGCAATCCTACTAGCTCTGAGGTAACACATTTAGAAGTGTCTACAATGTGAAACATCTGTGTAAAAATAAGCAGCACATATTTACATAACACAGCATTCTGGAGCAACATTAAACACAGCTCTCCCATGGGTATTCTCACTATGTCTACATATGTAAAGTTGACTCCTTACTGCTGTTGGTTAGATGCCCTTGCTTTGAGACGGATTAGGCACGCAATTGAACATGCACACAAGCATGTGTGCACACATATACCTACGCCATTGAACACTTACTCCTCACAGTCACTTTGGCCACCTGAATTCCGTTTGTTTTGTGTCTCCTGAAGCCCCTAGGGCAATATTTGAATGTATTATTAGAAATAGCACTGGGCATCACTGACTTTGCAATTGTTCAGTGTCTTCTCTCTCTTCTGTCCTCACTGCCCCGTCCAACACACAAACTTTCCTTAGAAAATAGTCATATAAATAGTTCATGAGAGATTGCATGCCTAAAAACATTTTTATCATTACCACACATGAAGCTCCCTAGTAATAAAAGTTTAAAATTAAAACCAGGATATTTGATTATAGGTCAATCCCTTATCTAAAACCCTTAGTGCTTGATGCATTTCAGAATTCAAATGTTTGCAGATTTTAGAAAGGTAATATGCTACATATGCCAGGAATTACATAATGCCTCCATTGGCGGATGTTATATAATGCCACATTGGGGTCTGGGGCAACAACTCTATAATCAGATACATTAACATTCTATAGCAAAACACATGCATATTCATACTCATTGGGATAAATAAATGCTATAATTTAAGCTCACATTAGTTCAGGTCACGTTTTCTCATTGATGTGAATTATAAAATCTTCCAGTTTTCATTGCTCCTTGGATTTCAGGAATTGCGGGTAAGAGACTGTGGACTGTATTAAAGTTTACCTAAACTGCTATAAAGTAATAGATTGGGAAATGGTACCTAAGCAGGTGTTCTTTTGCTTAGGCAAGAAATTTGGAGGGTAGTGTTACTTTAATGGGTGGGCAAAAATATGAGGAAAGGTGCTACTAAGACTGAAAGACAAAGCAGAGCAGAAATGTGGCATAATGCACAATGACAAAACTAGGATATGGAAAAGAAAGGCAGAAGAAGCCACTCGAAATTACTGAATCAAAAAAGCCGCAAAACATAATAATAACAGTACTCATTGATTACTTAAACTTTATACCCACTAGTGTGAAAGGCACTGGACGTAATTTTTTTTTTCAGCAACCTACCTTAATTTTCAAAAGGAAATTTTAAAAGGAAGGATGTATCTTCAAAGTGAGGCAAAAAACATTGGGTTATCTCACCCTTTTCTCATTGCACCCAAAAGCAAAATATCCTTAATGTTAAACAGTGCATGTGACACTGTCAGAAACAAACAAAAAAAATAAGTTGTGCCTTATGAAGTAAAGATTTCTGTTTATTTGTATATACTATATACTGCTTGCTATAGAGGTTCTTTAGAATCCATTTTAGAAAAAAGTAGCAATATTTTCTGCCATCAAGAGTCAGCTGTTTAATTTTTAAATCCATTTTAAAAACATATGTTCTCCAAAAAACAAGAATAATGTGTTGTATTTTCTTGGAGTCTTTCCTATGACATTACACAAATAAATACTTTAAGTACATTAAAGAACTTTACTATAGCAGAACATTGACATTACACTAAGACTTTGGGTCTATGGAACAGTGACTGCCTTCAAGGAGCATTTCCTGGGTGCATGTTGGGGCCTAAACGTGCATTGGGGAAGTGTCCAGGAGGCATTTATGTGGAGAGTGGTCCTTCTAATCACTGAACAAACTATACTAAAATGTGTGGCTCTTAGTATATGGAATACAATCACAAAGTCATTTTCTATGTGAAGAAGGAAACTGTATTTATTTTTTTGACAATACAACATAATTCGGTGAATTCTTTTCTTTGCAACCAAAATGGTGCCCCGATGGTTTTATGGAGCAGCTCCTAAAAGCAACTGACTATCCTATAAGATCAGTAACACTTCAGGGCTATGATTAAAAAAAAAAAAAAGCTCCCCATACCTTTTACGTCGTCTATAAAATGATAGATAATTACTCAGTGAACAGGACAAGAGTCTCTGGACTGCAGTGCAGGCTCACCAGAAAGCAAGCTCTTAAAATGAAGCTGGTTAACATTATGTGAATACCAGCACACTCAGCCCATTATAAAGTAAAATATCCAGCCCTTACACCTCCTCCAAACTCCATGTAATCAGAAGAGCAAATGTGTTTCAGAGCTGGCCCAAAAACAAGCTCAAGAAAAACTGTTAAGTGCCAAGGACATATGCCAACCACATGGTCAGCTGTAGCATTCCACAGGGCTGTCTAACCCAGCACATTGTCCAACAGCCTCCTTGGCTGTGACACTGTTAAGATGTAAAGTCAAATGTCTGTGTGAAGAAAGTTGGTCAGTCCAGGTGAAAATACACTGAACCCCCAGTGGAAATTGAACTCTAATTACCACTGGGCCCACTACTGAAAATCCTTCTCCCTAGATTAGTTTAAAATGGGTAACACTTCTATTCCAGACAGACACCAGGATTTTAAATATGCCTTTGATAATTTAAATCACTCAGTCACACAAACACTTGCCATAATTGTCTGAGACTCAGTTTCCACATTGAAAGGTATCAGTATTTGGTTTTCAAAATCTAAAACCCAAGACTTGATATTAAGCAATTCTGATCTTTTAATACATATAATATGTAAAAGTTTATATTCCAAAGCATTCTTAAAGAAAAAAGACAATCCATCCTTCACTAAAAAGAGGGCCAACCACTCCTTTTAATCATTTTATCAACGTTCCATTCAAACTCTTTTATGTATCAGTCCCTTAGAGTTCTGTACTTAATCTACACCCTTGAATAATCCACATCCTTTGCACAGTTTTTAACCACAGGTACAGAATAGGGAGTTGTTCTACAATGACTTTTTCAAGTCGTTGTCAGGTGTGGTTTTAGATTTCTGACACCACTGAAGACAGCTGGAGCTGTGTCTCAAATTGAAAGCATTTGTGTGGCAGGGGGTGGATAGAGTTGTAACTTGAGACTTCACCCTATTTCCAAATTTCTCTACTCTCATTCACAAGGAACTTCAATCTCAATAATCCCTACAGTATCAGTCTCAATTAATTTATCTGGGGAGAACAGATAAAGGGCACCAACTCTTATCCTTGAAGAATAGAGTCAGGATTTTGAAAAATACTTAGACACTAAAAAGTGATCAATTCTGAGTAAGACAACAAATCAGAAAAGTATATCAATATTCCTTCTGCTGTATGTATCATCACCGGGTCTGAAGAACTACAAGTAAGGGACAATTCCTGAGTGCTCTTAAAAGGACTTGGGATTTATACAAAGAAAAGCAGATGCTCTCTTTTCAAAGGTACAATTCGACATATTTTGACCAAGACCTTTTCCCCTGCTAAGCCTGTCCCATCATTAAAAACCATAAGTCATATGGGCTCTATCCAATACATGGATTATTGTATAATTATTCTATGAAAGGAGTTTTCTGAACTAATTAAGAGGTTTAAATAAATAAGTATATTGTAAATAATTTAACCCACCTGCCTCACACTGAAATGATTTACTTACATAGTGCAACTTGTAGAAACTCAATGATTTGTTATACATTCACCATGGTGATTATAGTTTGCAAAAGTCAGATTTCTTGGTTGAATAACAAATGTCAAGTTGATTCATCAAAATTAAGTCAAAGCAAGCATTTAAAACTATGTGTTTCCACTGAAAAGGTAAAATACATGATCATACTGATGAATTCTAGCCTTATCTCTAAATCTGTCATACAAACCTAAGGATGCATCATTCGACATTTATGTTCCTTTCTAATATCTCTTAAAATGGAGATTTTTCCAGACATGAAGCAATATTAATATATTTAAGTAGTAATTTTTATTCCTGAAAACTAGAGAAAGATCTCTCCTGCAATTCCAAAACATCTACCCTCCCCAACTGCTGCCAGGTCTCCCCTATAGATTCTGCCTAACGCATACATGGTGCTCAGAAAGTCTATCAGATGAGCATGCTCCTGCCCACACATGCTTGGTGTGTTATTTCTTTTCTTTCCATACTCATTAATAGGTTCTATCAGAATGTAGATGTGGGCAAGGGAATGAGGAAACTATCATACTTTCAATATACTCATGGCACCATCTTGTGGTAATTCTATGGTATTGCAGTTTTCAAGTTTAATTTTTAAAGTTCTCCAAAAATGTCTCGGAAAACACATTTGAGGATAAATTTAACGTTCTAAATATGCATGAGGTGCAATATTATAAATATGGCCTGTGTACTTAAAACCACCCCCAGATATTTTCAGAGTCATAATATCTATCATTAGTGTCCTGACCCCAGAAGCCATTTAATACCAACAACTGTTTCTTGAATGTAGAATAGGAATGAAATTAAGAAATATTAAGGGATCCCTGAAGATCCTGAGGCATAAAAGAACACCACAGACTATACCAGCAAAAAATAAGTAAAATTATATATAACACTCCAACTGACAACCCATTTTCCAATCCTGCGCTCCATTCCCACATCTAAATTACTACTCTGCTTCCTGCTGCAAAATACCCAGGTTTTATCACCCTTATCTTCTCCCCCACCCCAAATGTCCTCACTTTAAAATCTACTCAAGCTCAGTTTAAAATTTCTAAGGCCAAATAAAATATGCCACTTGCCGAATCAAGAGGCAGATCCTGTTTTTTCACCCCTTGGATTTGAGCTGGCACTGTGTCTCAGGCCATTCCTGCTACTGTAACAGAATACCACAGACTGAGGTGATTCTTAAATAATAGAAATTTATTTCTCACAGTTCTGAAGGCTAAGAAGTCCAAGATCAAGGTATCAGCAGATTTGGTATCTGGTGAGTACTTGTTCTCTCCTTCCAAGATGATGCCTTGTTGCGGAATCCTCTAGGAGAAACCAATGCTGTATCCTCACTTGGCAGAAAAGCAGAAGGAGCAGGCAGCTCTTGAAGCCTCTTTTGTAAGGGCACTAATCTCTTCATAAGGGTAGAGTCCTTATACCTAATCACCTCTCAAAGGTACCACCTCTTAATACTGTCACCATTGGGGTTTGAGTTCTAATGTATAAATTTTAGACAGACACAAACAATCAAACTGTAGCACCTTGTGACTAGCTCTGACCAAAAGAAGGCAGTATGTTGCAGCTTCTGTTCTTGCTGCCTTGTAGAACTGCTCTGTGACTGCTGGGTACCAGAGCAGAGCCTGGTCTAATCTACCGGTGAAAATTATCCAGACTACAGCCAGCAGCAACTGCCAGATGCATATGCAAAGCCATCTAAAACATCTAACCCAGTTACCCTGTAGCAGCCTGCAGCTCCATGGGTGTCCACCAGTGAGTCCAACACAAGAGCCACATTGCTGAGCCCAGCCCACATTTCTGACCCACAGAATCATGATTAAAATAAAACACTGTTTTAATTTTTTTTTCTGAAAGCCTCTGCCCACCTTTCCACACTTCTCTTGTGTTTCCTTCTATTAATAATTGTCTTACTCAGTTCAGCCACATCTCAGCTTTTGGACACACCAAGCTTTTCCTCAGGTTGAGATTTTGAGCATTCTCCTCACTCCCTTTGGATCACTTTTCTCCATTCTCTTTGCTTGAATTTTTTTTTTAGTCTTAAAATTTCAATCTTTTATGAGAATGAATACTAGAGGGCAGGATGTTAGTCACTAGCCACCCTACATAGAGAACTAATATGGTCAGTTTTATCTAGACTTGGGAAGCTGTGAATAGGTCTTAGAAAATAAGCTTGCAATAGTGTGGTATGTTGGGGACGCAAAACGTAAGTGAGATGTCTGGAATTGATGCAGAGGCTCCTAGTTGACATAAAGCAGATTGACAGAGAGAGAGAACTCAGGACAACTTAGCTCTGAATTCCAGCAGCTGCCTCTGACTTTCTTATCTACGTATTTGCAGCTGTTTTTCCTGTACCTCTGTTTCCATAGGACCAGAAGACCCTTCTTCCTGTTCTAATTCCTTTATACCTTTACAAAGGATATTCCTTTTTCCCCAAATCATACTTCACTCCAATAATAAGAAACTATTTATAGTTTGTTCCTATATGCATCTGCATTGCTGTTCCCTAAACCTGGAATGTTTTCCTCTTAAGTAATTTGAAATTCATCTTCAAATACTCATCTCAAAGATCACCTCCTCTGGAAAGCCTTCTGACCTCCATAAAGTTAATCATTCCTTTTTCTGTGCTATATTTACCTTACATGGAGATCTGTCATTGTTCTTAGCATAGCATATTGCAATTCACTTTTTTAAATATTTATCTTCTCTTGATACTTAAAATAGAGATTAGGAAATAACCCAAGATTATACAGGTGAGCTGTAAACCCAAAGGCTAGCATCCTTATGAAATAAGAAGAAAGGAGATTTAAGACAGAAGATAAGACACAGACATACAGAGCAGAAGATGCTCTGAAAACAGAAGCAGAGACTGGAGTGATGTAGCCACAGCCCAGGAATTCAGGGGCAGCCATGAGAAGTTTTAAATTTTTATGTCATTACATTTAAATCTGTAATTCATTTTGAGTTAATCTTTTCATATGGTGTGAGATTTAAGCCTAAGTTATTTGTTTGTTTGTTTGCCTATAGCTGTTCAATTAGTCCAGGACTATTTGTTGAAAAGGTATTCTTCCTCCACTGACTTGCTTTTGTACCTTTATAAAAAAAATTAATTGAGTATATGTGTGTGGGTCTATGTCTGGGTTCTCTAATCTTTTACCCCCTCCTTTACAATAAAACCACTGTCTTGATTACTTTAATATATAGTAAGCCTCAATATTGGGTAGAGAGAGTCCCTCCTTTTTTTTTCTTTGTCAAGTCTTAGTAGCTAAACTAGCTAATAGGTCTGTGCTTTTTCATATAAATTTTAGCATGAGCTTGTCTATGTCTACAAAAAGACCTTGCTGGGATTTTGACAGAAATTTCATGAAAACTATAGATCAATTTAAGGAGAATTTCCATCTTAATCTTGTTGAGTTTTCCAGTCCTGATTTCTAAACACATGGTATGTCTCTCCATTTACTTAGGTCTCCGATTTCTTTTCTCAGCATTTTCTAATTTTCAGCACACAGATTCTACACATATTTTTTAAGTATATATCCAAGTATTTCATTTTATTGGAAGTGATTATAAATAGTATTGCATTTTAAAATTTTGATTTCCATATGTTCATTTTTAGTATGTAAATATAATATGCAATTTTTTTTTTTAAATTTTGAGACAGGGTCTCACTCTGTCACCCAGTCTGGACCACAGTGGTGTGACTGCAGCTCACTGCAGCCTCAACTTCCTGTGCCCAAGCAATCCTCCCACCACAGCCTCCTGAGTAGCTGGGATTACAGGTGTGCACCACCATGCCTGGCTAATTTTTCTATTTTTTGGAGTGGGAGGGGGCAAGACAGGATCTCACTGTGTTACCCAGGCTGGCCTTGAACTCCTAGGCTGAAGCCATCCTCCTTCCTCAGTCTCCCAAAATACTGAGATTACAGGCTTTTGCTTCTTTTGTTTTTCTTGCCTTATTATAGAGCTAGAACTTCCAGAACCATGTTGAATAAGACAACTGAGAGTGGACATCCTTCCCCTCTTTTTGGTCTTAGGAGAAAAACATTAAGTCTTTCACCATTAAGTATGATGTTGCCTGTAGGCTTTGTTTAGATGCTTCTATTAAATCAAGGTAGTTTCCCTCTATTCGTAGCTTGCTGAAAATGTGTATTGGGTTTTCTCAAATGCTTTTACTGCATTAATGGATATGATCATATGAATTCTTTTCTTTAGCTTGTTGATATGGTAGATCATTATAATTGTTATTATTTGAGATGGAGTCCCAATCTGTTACCCAGGCTGGAGTGCAGTGGCATGATCTCAGCTCACTGCAACCTCTACCTTCCAAGTTCAAGTGATTCTCCTGCCTCAGCCTCCTGAGTAGCTGGGATTACAAGCACACACCACCTGGTTAATTTTTTTATGTTTTTAGTAAAGATGGGGTTTCAGTATGTCGGCCAGGCTAGTCTTGAACTGCTGACCTCAGGTGATCTGCCTGCCTCAGCCTCCCAAAGTGCTGAAATTACAGGTGTGAGCCACTGTGCCCAGCTGGTAGATTATTAATTTTTAAATGATGAGCCAGTTTTGCATACCTGGACTAAATCTCAGTTATGGTATATAATTCTTTTCATAAATTTCTGGATTCAATTTGCTTATATTTTGCTGAGAATTTTTTAGTCTAAGTTTATGAGATACAATTCTGTGGGTTTTTAAAAATATCATCTTTGTCTGATTTTGGTATTAGGATAATACTAGCCTAATAAAATAAGTTGGGAAGTATTTCCTCTTCCTCTATTTTCTGAAAGCAACTGTTTAAAATTGGTGTCAATTTTAAAAATCCTTGCTGGAATTCTCCACTGAAACCATATGAATCCAGAAATTTGTTTTTTAAGTGCTTTGTAATGATAAATTCAGCGTATTTGATGGTCAGGCCTATTTAGATCATCTACTTTTAAATTTATTTTTATTTTTGAGACAGAGTCTTACTCTGTCTCCCAGGCTGGAGTTCAATGGCACAATCTCAGCTCACTGCAAGTTATGCCCCCTGGGTTTAAGTGATTCTCCTCTCTCAGCCTCCAGAGTAGCTAGAATTACAGGCATGTGTCACCACACCCGGCTAATTTTTGTATTTTTAGTAGAGATGAGGTTTCACCATGTTGTCCAGGGTGTTCTGAACACCTGACCTCAGGTGATCCACCCACCTCAGCCTCCCAAAGTGTTGGGATTACAGGCATGAGCCACTGCACCTGGCCCAGATTGTCTATTTTTATTTTAGTTGAATTTTAGTTATTTATGGTTTCTGAAGGACTGGTTCATCCTTCTAACTTGTTAAATTTATAAATACAAGTTTTTGTATTTATTATATTTTTAATTGCTGCAAGTTTTCTCATAATGTCATGTATCTCATTGGTATCTTCTTTCTTCTTGTCCTCATCAGTCTTGCTAATAGCTTATAAATTTGATTGATTTTTTTTTAAAGAATGAGATTTTTGTTTTATTGACTTTCCCTCTATTGCTTTCCTATATTTGAGTTCATATATTTTTGGTCTAGGTCTTTATTACTTTCTTCCTTCTGTTTGCTTGTGGTTTGGTTTTTCTATTCTTTTTCTAGCTTCTTGGTTGGAAACTTATTTGAGAACTTTTCTCATTTCAAATATAAGCAATTAAGGCTATAAATTTCTAGCTCAGTACTGCTTTAGCTTCATCCCACATATTCTACTATGTTGTGCTTTCATTGTCATCTGGTTTTTCCTTTGAGACTTCTTTGATTCATAGATTATTTAAGAGACATATTGTTTAATTTTCCTGTTGTTTTCTACTATTAATTTCTACTTGATTTTATTACAGTCAGAGAAAATGCTGTATATGATTACAGTTCTTTCAAATGCATTAAGATTTGTGTTATGGCCCAATATATGCTACCTTTGTGAATAGTTGTATAGTCACTTGGAAAAAAGTGTTCTACTGTTATTGAGTAGAGTTCTATATACATTAAATAGATCTTGTTAGCTGATTATATTGTTCAGATCTTTTATATTCTTCCTGATTTTCTGTTTAATAATCCCATCAGTTGCTGAGAGTGGGTCCCCAACTGCAAGTGTACATTTATCCTGCTCTATGAGTTTTTGCTTCATGTATTTTGAGGCTCTGTTGTCTGATGCATGAACATTTAGGATCATTATATCTTCCTGGTGAGTTGAACATTTTATCAGTACATAATATCTCCCTCTGTCTCTAGTAATTTTCTTTGCTTTCTACTTCATCAGCTATTAATATAGCTACCCCTGCCTTTATTTTTTAAATTACTGTTTGCATGATATTTCTTTTCCATTCTTTTACTTTCAATGTATCTCTTATTGATTTTGAAGTGAGTTTCTTGTAAGCAGCATATAGGTGGGTCATTTTTTTTTAAATGCACTCTTTCTTTTGATTGATTTATTTAGGCTATTTACATTTAAACTAATTATTGATGTTAGCACTGAAGTTTAATATTTTATTATTTGCTTTCTGTTTTTTCCTTTGGTTCTTTGTCCTCTGTTTCTGTCTTCTTTCTGTTCTGTGGCTTACTTGAACACTTTTTAGGACTCCATCTTGATTTATTTATATTATTTTTGGTTGTATCTCTTTTTATAGCTTTCATAGTAGTTGCCATTAATATAATGATATAACTATGTGACTCATGGCAGACAATTTATTGGTATCAGCATTTAACTTCCCTACTTTTAAATATCATTGTTTTTAGCATCAGATGATTATAATTTACTTCAGTCATTAAATATGATTTATAAAATTCATGAAGTAAATGATAACACAATGATTAATTTTATATGTCAACTTGACTGGGTCACTGGATGTTCAGGTATTCGGTAACACATTACTCTCGGTATTTCTTCCTGCCTGACTGCCTTCTACCTGTGACCTTAGTTTCTTTTTCTGCCTTCAGACTCAAATTGAAACATCAGCTCTTCTTGGGTCCTGAATTAGCCAGTCCCCAGATTAGAACTACACCATCGAATCTTCTGATTCTCAAGTTTTTTGGACTTAGACAGGAATGACACCATTGGCTCTCCTGGGTCTCCATATTTCTTACTCATCTTGAGAACTGGAGATCTCCATAACTGTGTGAGCTAATTCCTTTCTCCTACTGGTTCTGCTTCTCTGGAGAACCTTACTACAGGTAGTTTACTATGTACCATATGTCTATTCTTTCCATTGTCCTTTCTTCTTTCCTTCTCAAAGCCCCAAGATTCATTATTTCATCATTTCCTTTCTAGTTTAAAAATTTCCTTTAGCCAATATTTAAGGGTAAACCTGCTAATGAAAAATTATGCTGCCTAGTACAAGTTCCATCTCATGTGATGATAGTTATTTAATTTCAGGCAGTTGTGACTTACCCGAGTTGCATCTAGATTTGGGGTGGGTTGAGGAGGGTAGTTATGGGCTTACATGGTGCCAGGACTCAAGCAAGAGTGTTTATGACCTGGCTGTCACTTCTGCACGTGGACATCTGCTGAGGCATTTTTGTTTCTGTCTGATATTTAGTCATTAGTTCATGCAGGAACTGTGAGCTATTTCTTTGCTGTGGTACATGGGAAACATTATCCTGCCACTGTCCCAGTCCAACAGAAAAGACTACTTCCCTGTGGTTCCCAGGCTCAACCAGCAGCTTCTGCACTTACTAGGCCCACAGGAATTATGAGACCACCTCAGGTCCTTCAGCCCATCCTTACTAGGGGCTAGGAACACCAGGGTCAAACTGTCTTTGTGGACCTTATGAGGAATAGAAACACGCAACTACTTTGTCCAGAAGCCAAGACCCATCTGCAGTTTCTGTTATTTCCACTTACCCCTTGGAACTGGATGGGGAAAGCATTAGGGATCTACTACATGCAAACTAAGTTACCTCAGCTCTCTTTGCTTTCCCATTTGATTCTCTCCTTCACAGCCCAGAGTATTCATAAAACATTTGGCTAGGGAGACAGTGCTGGGAAAAGGATTTTGCTGCTACCTATCATAAGTCACTTTGGTACACTGATTACACACACACACACACACACACACACACACACACACCCATACACACACACACACACACACACACACACACACACATACACACATGTAGCAGACTAGTTTCAGGTACACTCTACGAATATTTCAGGACTCCATATTTGGGTCCCCTTCCACAAACACTCCCTTCATGGAAGCCTATCTTCCCCTCCTAAACTCCATCTCTCTCTATTCCCTTCCAGTCAGTGTGGAAGCTGCTTTCCTCTCCTAGATTCCATCTTTTCTTTCTCTTACTCAGTGTGAGAGTTAGCTGTTTCTTTCTCTCTCCTTCTGTTCCTCTCTCTCTCCTTCTCCTGTTCCTCTCTCTCTCTAAATAAATTTTTTTAAAAAAGGATATTTCTATTATTCTAAAGCTCATATCTAAAAGTTGTGCAAATACCCTGAATACTAAGTTTGGCAGAGGAACTTCCAGTGGTTAGGGGTCACCCACCTTTTATTCCCAGAAACAAGTCTCAATCATCACCCTGCGGACCCAATTCCCATCCATGTCAACCCCAACACTAAAAACCTGACCCAGAAGAGGAGAAGTCACCTCTTAAAATAACAGTTTCTTGGAAAGAATATCTACTACATTTTTTTTCTCTATGGGAGTGAAATGTCTTTGATTTTCTTCCCTGTGCTTGTTTTCTGAGGCTGTTATAAAAAAGTACCACAAACTAAGTGGCTTACACAACAGAAATTTATCAACTTATAGTTCTGGAGGATAGCAGTCAAAAATCAATGTGTTCGTTAGGTTGGTTCCTTCTGAGGGCTGTGAGGGAAGGATCTGTTCCAGGACTCTCTCGTTGGCTTGTAGATGGCTGTCTGTTCCCTGTAGCTCTTCTCATATCATCTTCCCTCTGTGTGTGTACCTGTCTCTGTGTCTGAATTTCCCTTTATTTTTTGTAAGGATATCAGTCATATTGGATTAGAGCTCACCCTAATGACTTCATTTTAACTTAATTACCTCTGTAAAGAACCTAGCTCTAAATAAGGTCTTATTCTGAGGTAATAGAGACTAGAACTCCAATACATCTTTTTTGGTGGAGAAACACAATTCAACCCATAATATTCACTGAAGCCAAGTGACAGTAAAAAAGGAAGACTGGCATTTTGTTTCTTGTTTAGGCGCCTGCTTTGTCAGTGGGCTTGCCGGCCTCCCCTGTGCTACCTGAGCAGGAAAGAAAAGTCCCTCACAGTTCACTCCACCTGTACCTGCCTGGGCCCCAGCAGTTCTCGGTTTTCAAGAGGAATGTTCATTCTCAGATGGATTCTGCACATGACCTCAAGCCCCAGGCATTGATGCATATGAAAACAGAGGACACAATCTTACCAGGACTACCACAGTGTGGAAGAGGCACATACAGTCAAGGAATTAAGCCTTTTGCTAATAACCATGAGTAAGTTGGAAGATGCATCTATCTCACAAAGGACTCTCAATGCCTAAGAAACCACCTGGGGGGATTCCCTTCATCCACAGCGTCTGTTAGGAGCACGTATGACCCACAGAGACAGCCAAAATAGTAAACATCAATGAAGAACAACAGCATTGCCACCTTGTGGAGGCTATAAAGTTAGGTTAACCCCTGCCTTTCCATCCTTCTATGGTTTCCCACCACTAGGCTGAAGAGCAGGCTGAGGCAGGGGCAGGGTAGAAGCTTATGTGCCCAGCCCTCCACTGTAACTTCTAGAGTCCACGTAGACAAATCTCAATTTGGCAATATAATTGTTTTTATAAATAGAACTGAATCTACTAAATCAAAGAATCTTTCTGAATACACAAAAGTGAGAAGTTAAGAATTGAGAGGGTGTTAAGGGAGCTGCTACCCAGCAGGAAATATAAATTTGATAGATCAAAACTGAGGAAAGTGACCCAAAATAAAAACGAAATGATGTGAGGCTTGAACCTCATTAAGTGGAGACTCTAAATAGTAGATAGTGTACACATGCACACATAATAGCAGTAGGTATACTCCACCTGCTATTTCACTTAGCATTATAACATGGACAATTTCCCCTATCATGAGGGTAATGACTATGGTATTTATAGACATTTACATTCTAATAGATGTAATTTAAACCTTTACTCAGGCTATTTGTGCTCTAAGTTAGGTAGCATTTTGAACCCAACACTAATATATATATATATATATATATATATATATATATAGAGAGAGAGAGAGAGAGAGAGAGAGAGAGAGACACACACACACACACACACACATATGCATATATACACATATACATACCTACATGTATATACACATACACATATATATATACACACACACACACATATACATATATATACTTTTTTTTTGAGAAAGAGTTTCACTCTGTTGCCCAGGCTGGAGTGCAATTGTGCAATCTCGACTCACTGCAGCCTCCACCTCCTGGGTTCAAGCAATTCTCCTGCCTCAGCTTCCTGAATAGCTTGGATTACGGGTGTGTGCCACCACGCCCGTCTATTTTTTCTAATTTTAGTAGATACAGGGTTTCACTATGTTGCCCAGCCTGGTCTTGAACTCCTGGCCTCAAGCAATCTGCCTATCTCGGCCTCCCAAAGTACTGGGATTACAGGTGTGAGCCACTCGGCCCGGCTGTAACACTGACTATATTTTTAATATGTAACTATAGGTAAATTAATACACCTTGAAATAATTACTATAATTAACATAATAAAAAATGCAAAAATAATTTTTCTACCATTATAAGTATGTATCTTATATCCTGTACATCCCTTTACTTTCTTTCACAGCATGTCAAGTATTGACTGAAAAAAACAGTTTAATGAAATTAAACCATCAGCTGAGTAAAAAGTAGTTAGGTTTGGCTTGAAATATAAAAATTATTTATTTACAACACACCAAGAACCATGTAACGGCACTGAGTGAAATTCCAACAAACGTTTTCTCTGCAACATCTCACTTCAAGCTGAGGCCTCATTACATGGCAAACCTTTGCTAGAGTAGAATTTGGAGCTCTTCCCTCACATTTGGGAGGAGGCTTATCTTGGCCTCCCACCTCAAACCCTGGGAGGAAGCCTGCCTTTTGTGGAAATCTTCACCACAGATAACGGTAAATATCACATTTTTCTTTAATTCTGTCACAGTGAAGACACTCAATAACAAGCAATGTGGAGGAAGAGGTGCTGCCCAAGGATAAGATAAAGGATTTGAAAGATTGTTTAGAATTCAGGGCAGAGGCAGAAATGCAAAAATTCCTGAGCTTCTGCCTCTATCCAGCCCACAAGGAAATGGTGAGAGGCAAGTGAAAGCAATGGATGATGGTGCTGCATTTCAGAGGGAAGCCTTGTTGGTTTTGGCAGTGTCTGTTCCTATTGTTAGAACACCCAGCACACTGCTGGCAACTCTCTAAAAGAATATGACAAGTTTAACATGCAAGATTAATGCTCCTCTCCTGCATCATAGGATGTTATAAATAAAGCTGTAGCTTTTTATATACTATCAAGTGGTATGCCACCCAATAGAAAGTAGATAAAGGAAACCCAAGAAAGCTAATTTTGAGAAAGGGGAAAAAATGACATCACTGCACATTTCAAAATACATTCAGAAGTGTTCACACATTGTGGGGATACAGGAAGTCTCTGGCCCAATATATAAATTGTGCATGTGTGTGTACACATGTGTGTGCCAGTGCATATGTCAGTGGATGTAACAAATATTTCGAGAGGTAGCAAACAGCTCATGGGTTTTACCTGTAGGAGAAAGAGTACATGTTATCAGGGTGGCCCAGTTTTAAGGTAAAAATTAAGTCTTGTTCTAAATCCTTCATTTTCTAAACCAGGACCATCTCTCCCCATAGTACATGGATTCCAGGACACTGCCTCCTACCTGTACTGCTGTTGCAGCTGGGGCTGGCCTGCGTGGGCGGTGGAGGCTGCCCATCACTCAGCTGCTTCACTCGTTTGCGGTGGGATTTGCCATTGGAATGCACCTGAGCCTGGGCTGCAGAGTTCAGCTGGATGTTGCACACTTCACAGAAGGAGAACAGAATTTTCTTTTTCTCTTTGCTCAACTGGTCCTCAGGCCTGTCACTCTTTATCCCCTTTTCTTCAAAGCCCCGTAGAAAATTTGCCATATTCATCATTCCATCTTCAAGATGGTTGTCAGGGCTTAAGGAGTACCTCATGCCTGAAAAACAAAACAAGTACAAGTGCTCCTGACATTATATATGCCTTCTTATTTCCTAATATCATTACAATGAATCTTTAATGGTTTGTTTAAGCTAAAAGTTGCCCAGCTACTCAGTGGTTACTCCTAGAAAAAAATCAAAAGAACCTAAATAAGCAAGTACAGTCTTTGAACATGAGCTCCTTGTGCCTGGGGGCTTTTGAACAGAAGTTCCTTTTGCCTGGAGCACTTTATACTCCATCCTTTCCCCTCTTCCCATCACCTTCTACCCTCTTTATTCTTTTAACTTCTGCCTGCCCATGAGATCTCAGCTGCCAAATCACCTTCTTCATGAAACACTTTTTGACCCTGAACACAAGATAAGATGTGGTTATATGCTCAGATATCGTGTTATGTGACCTATCTTCACAGCACCTATCAGAGTGTGCATTTCTTAGGTATTTGTGCAATTACTTGGCTTATGTCTGTCTCCACATCAGAGTATGAGCTCTATGAGGACAGTCACTTCAACTTTGGATATTTTAGGCCTACAGCCGCACCTTTTACATAATAGGCATTCAAATTTTATTGAAGGAAGGAATAAATGATGTTCTGAATCCAGAATGTGAAAATGTTCATGTATAGACACAAATGTATATACAATCTGCATATACCTGGGCACGTACAAACAGATACATGCCTTAACCAAAGGGGAGGTAACAAAGACCAAAACACTGTCTGTCTGCAACTTACATTGGGTTGTGTTCTAAAAGTCTCTTTATAAGTCAGCCGACAGGAATTTGGACATATTTTCTTATCCTTGTAGTGAAACAAATTGTTTCTAAGTTTCCAGTTTAGCCCATAAACGTCAATTTAATATTTGATGGAGTTGAAATGTAGAACATCTGAAACACAAAATAATATTTTAGTAAACTGCTAATTCAAAAAGAGTAAAATAGAATAAGACATGATTTTGTTTTCTTCATTTATTTAGATAAGAGTACAGAGGTAGATTATAAACTAAGGAAAGATTCTAAAGGGATTTTCTGAACCTTGAGACCTTTGATTGATGAAGATTGCCTTGACATTTTATTTTGTCTGGTTCCATTTCATGAAATTTTTCATTTTAGTTGATACCAGGAATATGAGAATTTTCAAAATCATCAGTGGGATTACAACAATGTTTTGGTTTACAATTTGAATAAATAAAAAGATGCTTCCCAAAAAGAAAGGGGAGGGCAATTTGGCTAAAATTTAGAGAAAAAGGTACATGTGAGAAAGAATGTCTGAGGTGGCAGTGTTGTGCCATAAGAGATGGAGAGTTTATATGAAGGAAGGATTATGGCTTGTAAGAGACTTCTGCTTATAGAACAAACTCAGGGGATGCAAGGTATTGGCTTTCAACAGTTCTTTTGATCCAAGTTGGCTCAGAGCTCTAAGGAAAGGCGCTACTAGAGATAGGTCCATATTTGGAGTATTCACAAGCTGGATGTTTAAAATTCAGAAAAGGTTTGACCATAAAACCAGATAATCATTCTAATGTATATGAGGCCCCCCAAAAATCTCCTTGTTTATACCCATACATCCAATTGTGAAGGTTGTTTAGACATTATTAATTGTGATGTGCACAACTTACTTGTCCCTTTTAATACTTTAACCTGATGATGCCATTTTAAGGGACTCTCTTATACAAATTTTCCAAGTCAACCTATTTCTTTTAGCTCCTGCCTTAAAATCTGCTCAAACTATGCAGAAACGAGGTTTAAGCAGTTCCTGTAGCTAAGCTACAGAAAATAATTCAGCTATAATTGAAATGGGATTTGAACTGCACATAAATATGTTTGCTTTTATTGCTTAAACCTAAGATATTATGTTATCACAAAGCCACTTTTCTCATAAAACTTAAGGAAATATCAGTGCCATATTAGTTATGTTCAAATATCTATGTCTTCTCTTAAAGTATTAAAACATAAGAATTGGTTGAAATAAGTAAATGATTTTTAAAATGAGCTCATTACTAACAGTTTGCCCTTTCTAGAAAACTAATCCACTGTGAAACGTAAGAAAAGCCAATAACGTTTAACTTTGCAGAATGAGGTCGGGCACCATCGTACTCAATCATTGAAACCTAAGTTTATATTTCAACTCAAGCCAGCAAGATCCTTGACTTAGCTGAGAACTGTTGAGCTTTCATCTGAAAATTTAAACTTTGGAGGTACCCAGGCTTGTCCATATTGCAAATTAACACATGGTATTTCACAGACACAAGACATACATCATAACATTCCTGTGACTTTTTGTTTGCATTATCATATAAAAAAGGCATGTTACCTGTGCTTTTATGATTGCCAATTATCCTGGAAATTATTCTATTTTCGATTTATTTAAACATACATATTTTAAGTAGGAAGAAAGAAATATTTCATATAAAATAAATGACTCTTCTAGAATTCTGTAACCTCTTCGGAGTACCAGTATCAACCCTATTTTATCTTCTCCAAGGGTTACTCTCACAAGTGACTGACCAAACCTCCAACACCGCATTCATGGGCCACTCTAGAAAAGATCAAATGCCTCGGGGTGGGGTGTGCACTCTGCTCACCAAATCCCAATTTATTAGTCCTAGTTCTGGCTTCACACTTTCCTCCCTCTCAGGGGAAAAATAAGGTCAGCTTCTGTTAACAGCCACTTGCAACCAAAGTATATTTAGCTGCAGAGGTCTTGGGAAAAGGACCTAGAGGTGGCAGAGAGGCAAGATATCAGTCTCAGCATCCACTTTTGGCCTGAGATGATATCATTTCCAGACTTATAATACGTGTGAATGTGACAACATTTATAATGTCAGCTTTCTCACTAAGGGGAAAGTAACGTTGAGTTTAAATGGAAGAAGAGAGAAAAATCTCACAGTCTATTTTAAAGTTTTTCATCAGACTATCTTAATTATATGTTTCACTTGCATGGGAGAGAAGGACCTTCAGGGGTGTCTGATTTTAAACAGAGCAGTGGGCAGCACTGTACTTTGGATTGCCAGGAATTAGTGTAAGAAAAGTCAGGACAACTGAACCAAATACTCTATGCTTTTATTTTTGTATTATTTTACAAAATTAGATGACCAACAACTTAACATTCATAAGAGAATAAGATATTTTAGTACAGGTGAAAGAATGAGAAAAGGTTGGTGCTTGAGCTGCTTTTGGAGAAAAGAGCTTATGAATTCAAACTGGACAGTCAGAGAATATCCTAAGGAGTGACTTTAAATCACCAGGAAGCGATCCATCAGGAAACTTTTCCAGTGTTACAACATTCCCTAGGACTGGCCCTGAACTGCATTGTTATCCAATTGTTTTCTTTTCTTTTTTTGGTTGAATTCATCATAATTTATTTATTTTTTATTGTACTTTAGGTTCTGGGGTACATGTGCAGATAATGCGGGATTGTTGCATAGGTACACACATGGCAATGTGGTTTGCTGCCTCCATTCCCCCATCACCTACATCTGGCATTTCTCCCCATGTTATCCAATTGTTTTCTATAACAATTTGAAAAAAAAAAAAGACAGGAAACTGATCCGGAGGTAGACATCTCTGTTGCACATGTACAGCAATACATTATTTGACTCAGAGTGGTCGCATCAGATGGAGAATAAGTTAAGAGGCTGCCTTCCTTCTATGCAAGTGTGAAAAGGCTCATTCCTCAACTCAAGTCAATCAGTTTTATCCACTTCCTGTTCATTCCTTAACCCCTAACTTGGCTTGTAACTCCTCTCCACAGTAGTGCTTGTCTTTGCAAACTGACTATCAACACTGCTAATCACCAAATCCAAGATGGCTGTTTCCTTGCTTACCACTTTTCCTGATGTCCTCATGATGCTCCCTCGCCAGGGTCTCTTCCCACCTCTGCACTCCTGAGGCGTTGTGTTCATAAAGTTAGCACAACACACAATTCTTATATTACTGGTTTAATTATTTATATAGTTTTATGGCATGTATGTTTTATTTATTCATTCACTCATTTCAGGATATTGATATAGACTAGGTAGGCAGAGGGCAGGATACCAGAGAGAAAACAGTGAGCAAGGTCAAGGAGATGTCAGCAGCTCAAGACCAGTCTCATCAAGATGGTGAAATCCCATCTCTATGAAAAAAATACAAAAGAAATTAGCCAGGAGTGCTGGCAGGGCCTGTAATCCCAGCTACTCGGGAGGCTAAGGCAGAGAATTGCTTGAACCTGGGAGGCAGAGGTTGCAGTGAGCCAAGATTGCGCCACTGCATTCCAGCCTGGGTGACAGAGCAAGACTCCATCTCAAAATAATAATAATTGTATTGTCCCTGAAAGTTTTTGTTATATACTGGGAAATGAATATGTTCAAGTAAAAGATCAGTGGAGACAGGAAGCTGCAAGAAGAACATGAACATATTTTACCTCCAAAAGAACAGCCTAGAATTACCAAAGCGCTAACTGGGGTTTATGTTGCAAAAACCCCATATTTGGGGTCATTCCTGATTGAAAAAAAACACAACTTTGGAGAAAGCACTGATTTGCTCTGAATTATCCTAAGAACTAAAGAGAAATATCACACCTCCATGGATGTGTGCGAGAAGGAAGAAAGGTTTTCACCCTCAGTCATGCCAGAAGATTGGCAGGGGACAGGAAATGGACACTGAGTATGAGCTTATGACTGTCTCTGGGCCTGGGGGAACAGGAGGCTTAGGATG